TACCTTGGATGCCTTGGCAAGGCTCATGCCACTGAATTTCTGAGTGGTCTAAAGCAGTGGTTCTCAAAGTGTGGTCTCCAAACCAGCAGCACTGGCATCACCTGGGAACTTGTTGGAAATGCAAATTCTTCAGCCCAGCCCAGACCTACTGAATCAGAAATTTTGGGAGTGGAACCCAGAACTCTGTGTTTTAACAAGTCTTCTAGGTGATTCTGATGGATATCTAAGATATATAAATATCCTTTCCAAAGTACAGGCATACCTGGAGATTCTGTGAGTTCAGTTCCAGATCACCACAATAAAGCAAATATTGCAATAATGAGTCACATGAATTTTTTAGTTTCCCAGTACATATAAAAGTTATGTTTAGACTATACTGTAGTGTATTAAATGTACAATAACATTATGTCGGAAAAAAATGTACATACCTTAATTAAAAAATACTTTATTGCTCTAGATGCTCATCAACAGACAAATGGATAAGCAAACTCTGGTACGTACACACAATGGAGTTTTACGCAATGATAAAGAACAATGATGAATCTGCAAAGCATCTCGTAACATGGATGAAACTGGAAGACATTATGCGGAGTGGAATAAGTAAATCACAAAAGGTCAAATACTGTATGAGACCACTACTATAAAAACTCATGAAAAAGTTTACACACAAAAAGAAACAATCTTTGATGGTTATGAGGGATGGGAAGGGTCGGGGGGGAATACTAAACAGACAATAGATAAGTGGTAACTTTGGTGAAGGGTGAGACAGTACACAATACTGGGGAAGCCAGCACAACTTGTAGAAGGAAATGATATGGAGCTCCACAGACACATCCAAACTCCCTGTGGGACTGAATTGCTGGGTAGAGGGCTGTGAGGACCACGGTCTCAGGGAAAATCTAGCTCAACTGGCATAACACAGTTTATAAAGACAATGTTCTACATTCTACCTTGGTGAGTAGCGTCTGGGGTCTTAAAAGCCTGTGAGCAGCCATCTAAGATAATCGACTGGTCTCACCACTTCGGGAGCAAGGGAGAAGAGAACAGGATACAAGAAAACGATTAGTCCAAGGGACTAATGGACCACAGCTACCATGGCCTCCACTAGACTGAGTCCAGTACAACTAGATGGTGCCTGGCTACCACCACTCACTGCTCTGACAGGGATCACAACAGAGGCTCCCAGACAAAGCTGGAGAAAAATGCAGAACAAAATTCTAACTCAAAAAAAAAGACCAGACTTACTGGCCTGACAGAGACTGGAGAAACTCAAAAGTATGGCCCCCGGACACCCTTTTAGCTCAGTAATGAAGTCACTCCCAAGGTTTACCCTTAAGCCAAAGATTAGACGGGCCCATAAAACAAAACAAGACTAATGGGGCACAACAGCCCAGGGACAAGGACTAGAAGGCAGGAGGGGACAGGAAAGCTGGTAATAGGGAAGCCAAGGTCAAGAAGGGGAAGTTGACATGTTGTGGGGTTGTTAACCAATGTCATAAAACAATATGTGTACTAACTGTTTAATGAGAAACTGTTCTGTAAACCTTCATCTAAAGTAAAATTTAAAAAAATACTTTATTGCTAAAAAATGCTAACCATCATCTCAGCCTTCAGCAAGCTGTAATCTTTTTGCTGGTGGAAGGTCTTGCCTTGATGTTGAAGGCTGCTGACTGATCAGGGTGGTGGTTGCTGAAGGCTGGGGTAGCTGTGGAAATTTCTTAAAATAAGACAACAATGAAGTTTGTCACATCAATTGACTCTTCCTTTCATGAAAGATTTCTCTGAAGCGTGCGATGCTGTTTGATAGCACTTTACCCACAACAGAACTTCTTTCAAAATTGGAGTCAATCCTCTCAAACCCTGCCAGAGATTTATCAACTAACTTTATGTAATATTCTAAACCTTTGTTGTCATTTCCACAATGTTCACAGCATCTTCACCAGCAGATTCCATCTGAAGAAACTACTGTCTTTGCTCATCCATAAGAAGCAACTCATCTAATAGGGTTTTATCATGAGATTTCAGCAATTCAGTCACATCTTCAGACTCCACTTGTAATTCTAGTTCTCTTGCTATTTCCACCACATTTGCAGTTACTTCCTCCACTGAAGTCTTGAACCCCTCAAAGTTATCCATAAGGGTTAGAATCAACTTCTTCCAAATTCCTGTTAATGTTGCTATTTTGACTGCCTCCCATAAATCACAAATGTTAATTTCATCTAGAATGGTGAATCGTTTCCAGAAGGTTTTCAATTTACTTTGCCCAGATCCACCAGAGGAATCACTATCTATGGCAGCTACAGCCTTACAAAGTGTATTTCTTAAAAAATAAGACTTGAAAGTCAGAATTATTCCTTGATCCATGGGCTGTAGAATGGATGTTGTGTCAGCAGGCATGAAAACAACATTAATCTCCTTGTACATCTCCGTCAGAGCTCTTGGGTGACCGAGTACACTGTCAATGAGCACTAATATTTTGAAATGAATCTTTTTTTCTAAGCAGTAGGTCTCAACAGTGGGCTTAAAATATTCAGTAAACCAATTAAACAGATGTACTGTCATCCATACTTTGTTGTTCCATTTACAGAGTACCAAAAAAAGAAAGAAAAAAAAACCCATTGCCACTGAGTTGATTCCAACTCATAGCGACCCTATAGGACAGAGTAGAACTGCCCCATAGGGTTTCCAAGGAGTGGCTGGCAGATTTGAACTGCCGACCTTTTGGTTAGCAGACAAGCTCTTAACCACTGTGGCACCAGGGCTCCTTATAGAGCACAGGCAGAGTAGATATAGCATAATTCTTAAGGGTCCTAGGATTTTCTGAATGGTAAATGAGCATTAGTTTCAACTTAAAGTCACCAGTTGCATTAGCCCCTAATAAGAAAGTCAGCTGTCCTTTAAAGTTTTAAAGCCAGGCATTGACTTCTCTTCTCTAGCTATGAAAGTCCTAGATGGCATCTTCTTCCAGTATAAGGCTGTTTCATCTACACTGAAAATCTGTTATTTAGTATAGCCACCTTCACCAATTCTCTCAGCTCAATCTTCTGGATAACTTGCTGCAGCTTCTACATCAGCACTTGCTGCTTCACCTTGCACTTTTGTTATGGAGACGGCTTCTTTCCTTAAACCTCATGAACCAAACTCTGCTAACTTCAAACTTTTCTTCTGCAGCTTCCTCACCTCTCTCACCCTTCACAGAATTGAAGAGAGTTAGGGCTTTGCTCGGATTAAGATTTGGCTTAGGGGAATGTTATGGCTGGTTTGATCTTCTATCCAGACCACCAAACCTTTCTCCATATCAGCAATAAGGCTGTTTTGCTTTCTTATCACTAGTGTGTTCACTGGAGTAGCACTTCCAATTTCCTTCAAGAACTTTTCCTTTGCATTCACAGCTTGGCTGTTTGGCACAAGAGGCCTAGCTTTCGGCCTGTCTCGGCTTTCAATGTGCCTTCCTCAGTAAGCTTAAGCATTTCTAGCTTTTGATTTAAAGTGAGAGATGTGCGACTCTTCCTTTCACTTGAACACTTAGAGGCCATTGTAGGGTTATTAATTGGCCTCATTTCAATATTGTGTCTCGGGGAATAGGGAGACCCGAGAAGAGGAAAACAGATGGGTGAACAGCCAGTCGGTAGAGCAGTCAGAACACATACATTTATCAATTAAGTTCACCATCTTGTATCGGTGTAGTTCATGGTGCCCCAAAACAATTACAATAGTAACATCAAAGATCACTGATCACAGATCACTGTAAGATATAATAGTGAAAAAGTATGAATGTTGCAAGAATTACCAAAATATACTAGAGACACGAAGTGAGCACATTCTGTTGGAAAAACAGCGTCAATAGACTTGCTCAACATAGGGTTGCCACAAACCTTCAATATGTAAAAAACGCAGTATCTGGAAAAGTGCAATAAATTGAAGCATAACGAAATGAGGTATGTCTGTACAGGGATTTCCCATATACTTCCTCTCCCAACTACACACTATTTATTTACTTACTTGATTTTAGTGCTGGTGCAAGGGTAGACAACAATCAACTCATTCATTGTCTTTGACACTATCATAGTGTGTATCATTTTAGGTGCAAGTGGACAAGTTATTTAACCTCTCTACACCTTTGTTTCCTCATCTGTAAAACAGGGATGAGCGCACAACCCACTCCTTGGAGGGCTGTGTTAAGATTAAATGTGATAATTCATATAAAGCACTCAGCTATTATCTAGCAAATGGTAAGTGCTCAAAAAATACACGATGGGAGGCAAATGGCTTTGGTTTTCTTTCATGAAGAACAAGATACTCAAGGTTGCACAGGAGACAGAATAAGGAGCTAAGGCCTCACTGTAGATTCAGTCTAGTGGTCCTGCAGCCTGGTTCTCTGAAACATGTCTCCTCTATCACCCCTATCAACAACCTACTCCATGCCCCAGTCTCAGGCAACTACCTCATCTCCAGAGCAACATAAAAGGAACTCCATCATCTTACCTTTCTATTTACTATTTCATTATATAACCTGATAGCTAGAATAGCAGTAATGAAATGGTAGCAGAAGCAGTAACAGCAGTAGCCAATACCTACATGGAGCTTACCACATGCCAGGCTTTTTTCTAAGCACTTTACATATATTATTTTATCCTCACAATAACTCTATGAAGTAGATACCATTGTCCTCGTTTTGCAAATGAGGAAACTGAGGGAAAGAAACATTACAAGGTTACAAAGCCAGTAAGTGACGGAAAAAGGTTTTTACACCAAGGCAATCTATCTCCTCCCAAATCCATGCTCCTGACTCATACTCTTTATTGCCTCTTAATCATCTATTATGGATGAGGCTGGGAGTCATTATAATTAATATATTCCTCATTCAAATATTTATTTAACTATTAAAGTCTGAAGAAAGTATCATTTTGTACCTCATTTTCTGCCTGCCAAAGCAGCTGTTATTTCTACATTCCCAGCAAACTTTGGATGGGATACAGATTTAGACTCCATAGATGAAATTTCACTGGACATTCTCATTGATTTATTTATTACTTTTTAAGTGCCTCCCCTGTCACCAGGAAGTCTGAGCAATATGTCTGACAGTTGTGCTGGAGTTGCTAGCAGGAGCACGCCCTCTAGTGGTCCCATGCTGATACGCAGCCAGATGCAGCATCCACACAAAGTGCTTCTATGACATTTCTTTCCTGTTATAAGTGCAATGGCAGAGAACAGATAATGATAACAAAGAAAATATTAAAGAGCAAACAAAAACATCCATAGTGGGTCTTAATGCACTGTATTTTATAATTGATGGTATGACATTATTCTTAGATTTATGGGGCAGAACGTAAAATCACAGTGGACAATTTTACTCCTGGCTCAGATGCAGGCAACTCAAGTATGCCAGTTTTTTGTTTTTTTTTTAAAAAAACATCTACCCCCATATCTTGACATCTTTCAAAAGTGGACTGAAAACAACAATTCTGGAAAATTTCTGAAGTAGATGCCAGACAATAAAATTGATGTGAAAACCATCACAAGCAAGCTTGTACACCCTCCAGGGCTTAAGGACCTACAAGAAAATATAACTCTTCCTTTTTCCTTTCTTTCTCAAGACAATGTGTCTGAGGAGGAGTGCTTCAGTATGAGTTCTACAGTCACAAAACATATGTACTGTCTTCATTTACAGTTAAGAGGAAATCACAGACATGGTTTTAAAAAAATAGGCAGAAAAAAAGTAACTAAACACGAACAAAGGACAATGTAATTTTAGCCAGTTGGAGCATTAAAATAAGACAGTAAGCTACCAAATTTATCAGCATCTGTGCTACACAACACCTAGTGTTCCTCTTCTCAGGCCATAGGGTCTATGTACCAGAGTATAATTTGTCTTCACCCCTGCTTACTTGGCCTTCTTATATTGTGACTGACTCTGAGATTTTCAGCAACTATTACAAAGTATATAATGAATACTGAAGTCATATACTTAGGAAAAATCCAACTAGGAATGAGCAAAAGAAGGAAAACACTCAACTTACTGATTTCTAGTCTCTGCTGAAAGCACTGTTAATTCAACAAGTATTTAATGACCATCTACTCCCTACAAAGGTGTTTGTGAAGTTCTGTGTGTAGATAAAAATGAAGACGTGGGTCTCATATTCAAAGAGCTTACAAACTAGTAAGAGAGAGAATTTCCTTAGCCAAACAAAACAAGGGGGATCATCTTTCAGACTGGGAGGATAGGTAAACATTTCATCCAGTATTATCTGAGCTAACCTTTCACGATGAGAAGAATTTCAACAAGCAGGTATAGAAGGGAAGGTATTCTAGGCAAGGGGGTTTTAGCAAGCATTCAGTGCATGATGTTTGAAGAATGACTAGTACTCTGGAGCATATTTTGAGTGAAAGGGAAGACTGAGAGTTGAGAATGAATGGTACTTTGGACTTTGTTCTATAAGCAAAAGTGAACAAGTACAGGCAATGAGTACGAGAGCGAGGGGTATGAGCAGGGCTTAGCTTTAGGGAGATTATTTTGGTGGGAATACATAAACTGGATAGGAACAAAGAAAGCCAGAAGCAGCAGACAGCTAGAAAGTTATCAGAATGAAGGAAGTAAGCAGTAATAAAGGCTTACAGTACAGCATCAGAGGCAGGTATCAATGTATAATTGACAAAGTTGAGCTAGAAAAGTGAATTCTCTGTATTCTTCCCCAACCACAAACCTGAGGTTTAGGATACACTCCTATCTATGACAGTGCCTCACAACCTTAGCAATTATATGAAATTACTTATTTTGTTGGGGAAGACACCTAAGCCCTACACTAGCGGAGCAAAGAGGGAGGTATATCAGACTCTCTAGAGAGATTAGTATGTGTTACTTTAAAAGATTTAAAAAAAAAAAATCCATATTATTCTTATCATGTCCTGTGACAATCACTGAATGAGAATGCCAAGATCCTTTCTGGCTTTCAAAGTCTTTGGCTCTGACTTTAATTCTATCTCTTACACTGATCCTCCTCAGTTGTGCAATTCTGGGATGTGGAAGGTAGCCTAGATCATGAAGATGAGTTGAAGCAAATGAAACAAACCATACTAGCAAATAAATAATGAACATATACAATCTCTGTAATAATTAGGTGTTCTCTGGGTTTGGAACCCTGAGCACTGAGATCTAGTCTCAACTTCTTAGAAGCTACTTCTTGAAAAGGAATAGTAAATATGAAATACCTTTAACTACCTACTGGCCCATTTATACTGGGTAAATTTTTTTAAAAAAAAGGTAATCAGATAAGCAAATTAAAAGGTAAAAGAGACATCACCTTTTTCCATATTTTTAATTACCATTATTGCACCAATACAGCATACGCTTTATATACATATATCTTAAACTTCATTTTCAATATTTTCAGCAATTCAAATACATAATATATTATCATCTTGAGAATACAAACAAAGAACACAACATGGAGGAAGATTGAGAAAATAGGCTCCCAGTAGTTAGTCACTAGTGATTCTGTAGAATTTCTTCTTAGTGTTTTCTATTGGAATTTAAAAATGTCCTGCCATGGCTCTGCCAAGAATAGAGCTGCCTGGAAGGATAGGCAATGAAAAAATAATGGACCCAAAGTTAGAAAAGACATAAAAAGGAAGTTCAGGAGAGAGAATATATTTTGAAACTAGATAGATCTCCCTTCAACCAGAGTGTACACAACCAAACAGACGCTAAGTGAAAAAATTACATCTTTTCATTTCATCCTCAAAATTGCCCATTAATAAACTAAACAGACAGTGTCCATTCATCTGAGAAGGGGAACACTCTTCACAGCATTGTATAAGGAATGGCGGGGCACAGGAAAGGAACATAGTAGGAGAGCAACTTGCTTTTGAGATGTCCTGGGTGATGAGTATCAAAGCCTTCACTTGGGCAAACCTGTCACAGCTAAAGCTATGACTCTTCAACTTCTTTCATAAATGGCAATGTATATAGTAGCAGCATTCTACCAAAGGGCTAGATGGATTGAAAAAGAAATGTTTATGGAAAGGGCTCAGATACCCAGGCAGCAAGGCAATGTGGGTATTAAACAAGAGTTAAGTGCTTTCAACCTCTCTGCTCTACAGATGAAGTTAAAAACTCTAAACTCTTCAACTTTAGGTCAAATAATGGGACAAATACAAAGTAAAGCTGTGCTTCAAAAGCAGCAACTAGATGGAGCTGCAAGAAAACAAATACTTCTCTAGCATACAACTGGGAAAGTACAGCCCCTTGAACCCCCTTCATCTGAGGGGCACCCACTGGTCAAAGATGTTGCACTATTCAACCAACAGAAAAGAATCATGTAGGTGCTCCCAACACAACTCTCTTATTGTAGCAAGAACATGTAAACACACAAGAGGGGGATGGGGCTGCACCCAGCAGTGGATTTTTACTGAACAGGATAAGCCTAAAGGATATACAGCAGAGACTCAGGGAACAGGTCTTTCTCCATATGTTCCCCTATCAAAATTCTTAATTTGTAAACACTAAAGTCAGGCTGTCCATTTTTAGAGTCTTGGGTTAATGAAGAAGAAGTTTCAAGGTTTTTGTCTCCCTGAAATTGTTAAATAGAGCTTCACAAAGAGGCACACTGGGTTCATGAGATGATTCAGTAAAGAATTTAAAAGATGGAGAATTTTATAAATGTTAGAGGTCACTTCCACCTCAAACAGACCCTGGCCTTTTGAGCCCTGCATAGTCAGCCCCAAGTATGGTTTAAGACCCACTACTCCCTGAACTTGGTAGTGAGCAAGGGATGGCAGATACTCTCTTGGCTGTACAGCAAATAACAACAAAGGGAAGTGACATAAAACAGCTTGAATGCAACAGAGAAGCTATGAAAAAGATTGTCCGGTAATTTTGGTTCTGGGGAGGGAAGGGGTTTCTAACCTCCCTCACGGATTGGTGCCCTCAAGGTCATTTTTCTTCTTCAAGTCTGTCTTTAATGTCCTGCCAATGCTGTTCAGAACTGGACCCAGTTGGATGGTTGTGGGGCCTGGTTTGAAACAGAGCTGCAAGACAAGAGAAGAGAAAGAAAGGTAAAAGCACAATCTTAACATAACTACTCCATTCTTTACTTAATAGTTTCCAAGAAATCACTGCCCAGAATACACAGGAATTCCACTTATCAAGGCCTGAAATATCCCACTCATTCCTCGTCCCACAGCTTTCTTGTCCCATCATCCCCAGAACTCCTACACTTCCTTCCCTAGAACTCCTGCCAGACTCTGTAAGATCTGTAAATCACCTGCCTTCCCAGGTCAAAGATTTCCTTTGACTATGGACATACCATCTATACCCTGATTGATAGCATGTTGGTTTCACTATGCCTATTACCTGGATGCAGTGCTAAAGTCTCCCCACAAGTCATTGCTTGCAGAAACTGGAGCTGGTGCTGGTGTTATAACAGGAGCAGGAGAATCCAAATCTAAAAGGATATCTGAACACAAGGTAAGAGGGAAAACATAATAAAATTCTTGGAAGCAAAAACTTAAGCTCAAACAAAAACCTGCAGGCAAATGTTCACAGCATCTTTATACATAATAGCCAAAACCAGAAACAATACAGATCTCCTTCAAGGGGTGAATGGTTAAACACACTGCAGTACATCCAAACATGGAATCCTACTCAGCAATAAAAAGGAACAAACTATTGAAAGATGCAGCAAGATGAATTATGCTGAGTGGAAACAGACAATCCCAAAAGGTTACGTACTATATGATTCCATTTATATAACATTCTTGAAAAGACAAGGTTATAGAGATGGAGAACAGATTAGTGGCTTCTAAGGGTTACAGATGGGGATAAGGGGGACCAGGATGGACGTGGGTATGATTATAAAAGGGAGACATGGGGATCCTTGTGGTGATGGGAACTGTTCTATACCCTGACTGTGGTTGTGGATCTATGAACTTACACATAATAAAACTGCATAGAACTAAATACATAAATACACACACATACACACACACACACACACACACACACACACACACACAAAAATAAGCACATGCAAAATTGGTGAAATCTGAGTAGATCAGGGAACTGTATCATGTCGATCTCCTGGCTGTGATATTCTACTACAGTGTTGCAAGATATTACCACTGAGGGAAACTGAGTAAAGCAGACTTGGGATCTGTTTGTATTATTTCTTATAATTGCATGTGAATCTCAAAATAAAAATTATCTCAGAATAAAAATTTTAATACAAAAACTTAAAATATTATAGTGTCAAAAGTAAAAGGCACTTAGATACCTAGTCTCTCCCCTGTACCTTCTGGCAATACTTACCAAAAGAGGTAGGCAATAACCATTTTTATCTCAAAAATTTCACAAAGACATATCAATTCTCAATAATTAATTCTATGAATGATCATCATTGTCCAATACACTGAGTTAAAACTCCCAGATTCTAACATCTGGTTGTCTAATCTTAGGAAAATTCCCACTCCTTTCTGAGTTCTAATGTTCTCATTTTTTAAATGGGAAGATATAAGTACATCTATTCTTTTTCCCACAGAACAGTGAGGAAGAATGAAAGTGTATTCACAAACCTAGATGTCTTCTCCTTTTCTCCCAACTGCCCTTGTGAAGAAATGGAAAGGATTAAGAAATAACATTTAATGAACGGCCACTATGCTCCAAGTACTATACCAGGTGTTGCCACATCTTTTAATCTTCACAATCCTGAGGTAGTTTTACATCTCTGTGACACAGATAAGGAAATTGAGTGAAACTCAAAGAACTTAAGGAATGTCACCAAGCTTATTCAGATATAAAGTAAGAGAGCCATGACTGACAGGCATCAAGGTCCATCTGACTCACAGGCCTGCTAGCATCTAACCATGGTGCAATGAAGGAAACTGTCTTTCTAATTCCACCCATTCTCTGCCAAAGCACCTACCAGACACCATGACTCTCGGTTCACCAGAAAAGCTCTGACCCTTTGCCAGAGGCTGTCAGAATCACTTTGTCAGTGCCAGTGTCTCTGAGTCAGACGTGAAGCATAACAAAAACCTCAATGCTCCCCTTGGCAAACAGGTGTTTCTCAATTAAAATGTAAGATGTGATTTCTCAAAGCTAGAGGTACTAGAGAGATTTACCTGCATCACTGCCTCCATGGTTAGACTTTGGAATAGGTGGTGGGGTGACATGATTGCTGATGGCAACTGAAGAGGATGGAGGAGGAATAGTGATTTTGCCTCCAGGTGGGGGGGGAAGTAAGCTTAGGCCCCCAGGCCCTGCAGTCCTGGGCTTAGAAGCACCTCCTTTCTTCGTTGTAATGCTCTATTAAAAAAAAAAAAGAAGCTCACAGGCTTATAGGAACACAAGAAAACAAAAGAAAAAAGAAAATAAAACATACTCACCCCAATACTCAATTTGATAGTCTGTCCTTCCTTAAACCCCAGATCCAACTTTGGACGTGTATCCATTTCTTGAGACTCTTTGGAAATCTCAGATTCCTGCTTTACCCACCTTCAGGAAAACAGCAAATTATCTTAGTTTGGATTTCCCTGACAGCAGAGCCTGACATAAATTTGCGTATACTTAAGTTACTTGAGAGGGAATCCCAGAAAGCAGAGTGAGAGAGTGTGAAGAGTGAAGAAAGAGGACAACTGGGGCTCAATCCCACCTAGGGTTCTCTGGGCTACCACACAAAATCTACATTAGACTTGTCCCTCCAAAGGGGAGGCATTTATCCATCAATTCCCATCCCCCATGATGAGGGCTGCCCCTGGGAGTGTTAATTCTCAGCCTTTCCAGGTTGCATCCCTAGGTTGGCTGAGTGGCCCTCCATAGCTTCAGAGAGTCCTAAAGCAGAAAGGCAGATATGCCTGCCCTTAAGGATGGAAATTGATAGCGTGTAAGACTCTGTCCACCACAGCTGCACTAAAATGAGTGGGCTGAAAAGATGTGGCAATAGGCACAAAACATCATCAGCTACATAAGGTAACAAAATTGGCACATAACTCCCCACATGTCTCACATATAGCCCTGTTGTTACTATATGCCTCCCTCTACCACCAAAATCAACTGCAAATTCCCTAGAGGCAGAAACAAACGCATCCTCTCAAACCATTATACAAGGGATCTAAAACATATTTCAGGCTATAAGGAAACATTGAGAAGATACAAACACAATGCAGGAAACCAGAAATGAATGGGGATATCAATATTTATAATAAACTAGTTTACCAATTAAAGAAATCAGGAGGTAAAAAGATAGTGCCTATTCATCTGAGAAGCAGGCTTTCCATAACCATTCAGTTTTGGTAAGTAAAAAAGAGCTTCACTCACTTGAAGTGATCTTGCAAGGAGACGTTAAAGTCAAAAGCATCACCTCGATCTGTGAAGCCAATGCCAATGAAAGCACTACGCCCTGTGAAAAAGACGAGAATACTCAAACAGGAAGTGGCCCCAAAACAATTTCTGCCCAATGAAAACAAAACAGTTACCCTAACTAGATATAGTCTGTGAACGTGTAATACTTTCTCACAGACCAGTAGTCAGCAAACTATACCTCAAAGGCCAAACGTGTCATAGCTTGTTCTTGTAAGTAAAGTTTTATTGGAACATAGTCACACTAATTTGTTTACATATTATCTATGGCTGCTTTTGCATGACAACAGCAGGGGCTATTTAGCCCACAAGCCTAAAATATTTACTATCTGGCCCTTTACAGAAAAAGTTTGCTGGCTTCTATTATAGAGACAATGAAGAAAAGTTGGAGAACTGCTGCCACAGAAACAGGTAACCAAGATAGTCCCACCAAAAACAACCACCACAAATACAGAGGAGAAAAAAATGTGTTAACTTTTTTATTAGATATGCATTTTGATTTCATTAAGTCTACCCACTAATTGCTACGTCTTGAACTTGTGTTTATATCTATTACTAATAACACGCTAATCTTTCTCCTTTAGTAACTATAACTTTGAAGAAAAAAAATTAGTAAACTGAAGTAAGATAAATGTGATAGGGACACACTTTCAGTGATAGTTCACTGACTATTCTTCTAACTCATCCCCTTCAAAATCCCAGATCCCTTACCAGTGCCATCCTGGATCCGGATTACAAAGTACCGGCTGGAATCTGTCACCGTCTCCACAGCAATGCCAGGATATTGTTCCACTGGTGCCTGAGCAAAGAGCTCCCCTGACAGATGAGAAAAAGACATTTTTGAGCAAAGGAAGCAAAAATCTAGAACTCCAATTCAAAAATACTTCCATTCCAGTCCCCAACGTGAAAGGCACTATAAAAGTACACCAAAACCAATATCCTTAATATGTTAAGAGGTCAACTGCACAGATTACCTGAAACTTTATCCTCAAGTTTGATATAGGCAATCTTCCCTTTTGAAGTGATTCGTAGGCGACCAGTCCAATCCGGCTGGTCTAATTTCCAGTCAGATGCCCTAGGATAAGAAAATGGGAAGCCTAAGTCCTCAGATCCATGTCATTAATATACTAAAGCCCATCCAGAATCACCTGCAATATTTATTTTTCCCTCTCCTGAACTGCTTATTCTATCAATGAAAATAATCAACAAGTATAACTTATGATTGCCTCTACATAGATGCCTTGTTACATAACAGTCAAAACAAGTACTAAACTACAGCATTTATAAGTATCAATAAAAACATGTACAAATTCAAATCAAAGCAATAAAAACATTAATATGTCTTATTATGATGTTACTTTCATACGCAGATAACATTCCATATAATAGTACTTTACTGATCAGGTAACAACAAAGTCTACTAACTGAAATGTCCTAGATAACAAAAGCCTTACCAAAACCCTAAACGTATCACTATTGTTCTTTTAATATTTACAGAGTGTTTATTATGTCACAGGCACTGTTCTAGGTGCTTGGGATACAACAGCAAACAAAAGAAAGATTCCTGCCCTTGAGTAGCTTATATTTTAATAGTAGACAACAAAAAAGAAACATAATATATAAGTAAAATATGTAATATCTTAGAAAGCGAAGTACTAAAGTTAAAAAAGTAGAGGCAGATAAGGGGAGGCTAGGGGGTCAGTGGGAGAGTGAATACGTTGCAGCATTTAAGAGAGTGGCAGATAGGCCTCATTAAGAAGGTGAAATGTTAGCAAAAATGTGAAGTGAGAAAGTTACCTATGTAGCTATCTGCAGGAAGAGCATTCCAGCATAGGGAACAGGTAGTGCAAAGGTGCTAAGCTGAGGGGATGCCTGGTATGTTTGAGGGACAGCAAGGCCCTACAGGCTATTCTGAATGAGAGATGAGCTATTACAGGGTTTTAAGCAGAGGTGTGATGTGATCTCCTTTATATTAAAAAAAATACACTTTGGCTGCTATTGGGAATAAAGTGTAGGAAGATAAAGGCTGAAGCAGGGGGATTCATTCTAGAGACTATTGTAGTAATCCAAGAGAATGATGGCAGCAGCAGAAGCAGCTAAATTCTGGGTATTTTTAAGGTAAAGCCAATAGGATTTTCTAATGGACTAGATGTGGGATATAAGAAAAAGAAGTAAGTCAAAGATGACTCCATGGTTTTTAGCCTCAGAAAAAGAGTTGTCAATAATTGAGATGAGGAAGGTAGACTATGTCTGGGAAGAAAGATCAGATCAGTTTGGATATGTTGTTTGAGGTGTTTAGTGGGCATTCAAGAGGAGATTTAGAGTAGCCAGTTGAATGTATGAGTCGGGAATTCAAGAACGATTTCTAGACTGGAGATACAAATGTCCATGGAAACATTAGAAAATACTGAATATTTATAATCTGTTATAAATGAATTTGAATGCAATTCAAGATACTATTTAAATTAAGAGATTTTACAAAACATTTCATTTGTGATTTTATTTTGCAAGAATGTGGAAAGGGCAGCACAAAGTAAAAGTGATTAATAACTCAACCCCTATGAACCTGAAGACTAATAGCTACAAGTTAAAACAGTAAGATGAGATATATCTGAAGAAGAGTGAGTATAACAAGATAGTAAGCAAAGGGCAAAAAGGAGGAAAAATGAAAATTAGAACAGGTCTTGAACAGGATCTGTAAAATAAACCCCTCTCATGTCCTTCCTTCTTGATACCCTGCCCTCAACATCCTCAAATACCTGAATCTAATCTGGATTACAGTGCTCAAGAGGTCCCTGGTCTATTACATTTTCTAACACGAGTTGTGACTTATATGTTAGTCAGACCACCAAGAACTAGACATAAGTATAAATAGACTACTAAAATATTAAAAACAAGCATACCTGTGTTACTTATCTTTGTGTGTCTACTAACCAACATTTAACACATTCTCTGTAAAGAAATGGATATTCATGGTAGTAGTTTCCCTCAGCCATGGGTCTAGTTCCTCTCCCACCCCAAGACCTGAGCTCCATTCTTCAGAACTCTTGGTTTTTCTGGTCTTCTGACAATACTCTAAACTGACCTACAAACTTCTATACACCTTAGCAATAAAGCTTTTCTTATCTATATAAATCATTCTTATGATCACACAAGATTTCACATGTACATTTAATTAAACCCTTTACAGTGGCGTGTGAAATAGGTAGGGAGTTTTTTATCATCTCTATTTTTTTGAAAGAAGAAAAAGACAATAACACAGGAAGTAATGATAACTAAATTCAAACTCAGGCCTTCTAACCCCAAGTCCAGGATTCTTTTCATTATATTAAAACACACTATAGTTTAACGTTGATTTGGCTAGGAAAGAAGAGTAGTGATGATTAACAAGTCAGCATTATAGGTTGAGAAACCATTTTATACTCATTTATAAGTTTCTCATAAGCCTACATTTTCCTTCTTATAGTTCAGACCTGATCAGTGAAAGTCTGGGAAGAGCAGCGTACCGAGGTAATCAAAGACATTTATTCCCGCTGATCTTATTAATCATTCAAAGGAAGGATTTTTCCTCTTGCTAAAAAGCCCTGTTTATCTTTTAATGGTAAACTAAAGAATAGATCATGCTCATAAAGTAAAATGGGTTCCGGTAAACAAAAGAAAAGATTATGATGATGCTCATAAAGTAGAATGGGTTCTGGTAAACAACAAGAAAGATTATGCAGACAAAAAGAAAAGTAGCATTTACCAAGCATCTGTTATGTGCCAGGCACTATGCCCATTGTCGTGAATATTAAGTGAGAGAATCTTGTAAGGCAAAGATTAGTATTCCCATTTTTGCAGGTGAGAAAACTAAAGTTCAAACGTTAAGTGATCTGACAAAGGTAACCCAGCAAACAAATGACAGAACCGAGATTCAAACTTAGTTCTGCTCTCTTCACTCATTACACTAAGAGTAGTTAATGATAAAATGTCTCCTGGAGGATAAGAAATGTCAATATTAAGTATGTAAAACACAGAAGGATAATGGAAAAAAGAGTAAACGAAGAAATTGCTTTGATAGCTCAGTGCAGTTAAGTGACATGAGAAAAAAAGACTGTGCGTAACCTAAGAAGTGAAGGTAAAGCATGCAGATGGGTGAAACAAGGAACGTGTTTTAAAAAAAAAAAAAAAAAAAACCTTGAAGTAAAGAAAAAAGACTAGCACCCTACTTCAATGTGTATCAATCATATTCTTTAGAAAGTCTTTTAATCCCTAAAACTGGAAGTCATATGCTATTTTAACTTATTTAATGGTTTAATCAATGCCAATTTATGTGATTAGGTTTATCTGTGTAATTTACTAAATTTTTCTTTCACTCAACATTTACAGAGTGCCCACTTATATGCCAGACATAAGGAATATAAAGTTAAAAAGACCTCAAGTTATTCACAGTCTAGTCTGGGAAAAGAGGTGACAAAACAATCGATCTACAATACAGAATGAAGAATGCTATGATAGAGACAAATGTAGGGTGTTATGCAAGCACACAGAGAGCATACCTAAGCCAGAATGGAAGGGTTTAAGGAGGGCTTCCCAAAGAAGATGATGTCTAAGGTGAGTCACACTTTTATACAGTTCCCATGATTACCAGCAAAAAAGCATGTAGATTCTTATTGATGGTCAATTCGGGGTGTGATTGAAAGCTTTTTAAAAGTAGGACTATCTCTCTGCCAAAATGTACATCCCATACAGTCTAGTGCACAGGTTGGGAAGCACAGATACTGATTCACGATGAATGAGCCTTCTGGTAAGGAGGCAAAATAATGAACATAAAAAGAAGATAACTTTTCAACCAAGGTAATGAAACATCCCAAGAGAGAAATAATGATGGTGACCTGGAGTCAGAGAAGAATAAGAATAGTATCTCATATTTTACATATTGCTTTAGAGTTTCCCAAATTCTTCCACATCCATTTTATGATTTCATTTAACCTTCTAAAAACGCTGTGAGGTACATAAGTAGAGCATGTTTTATTATCATTAATTTTTTTTTCTCTATTTTACAGATGAAAAAAACTGAGGCTTGGAAAGGTTAAGAAATTTGTCCAAAATCAATACAGCTGATAAGTGGCCAGGGCTCATATCCATATCTTTTAGCATGTAACCCAGTGAGTGCTCTTTCAAGTCTATGACATCGTACAGCATCCTCAGGCTCCATAGTCACTGGATTACAAGATGGTTAGCTAGGGCCTACAGAGAAAATGCTGCATTAACTCTCGAGGGAAAAGCTATAGAAGAGGAGAGTAAACGAGAGAGGGCGAAGGATGGCAGAAAATACTATACCATCGTCATGAAAATATGATAAAAAGAAACAAAATGAACAACTATTGGAAAAATTATGATCATAATCGTTGCCCACTGGGAGAACAGCTGAACGAAAAATCGAAGAGTGCACGACATTTGGTGACGAGACTAACAGTACAAAAGATAGATCATCCAGAGAGACCAACAACACATTGATTACCCACAAGTGTGCCTCAGGTATTAGGGTGGGTGGGTGTGTGTGTGAAGGAGGATGAGGGTGACAAGCTTAAGGACGCAAAGAAAAGCGAACGTAAGGTGACTGGCGACGGAGCAAGCACGACTGGACGTGAATAAATAAGGAGCAGAAGAGTGAAGCGGGGGGGCACTTGGGGAGGGGGCGGTGGGAGGAAGCAGGATGGTAATAAAACAGGCGGCGAAGACGAGGATAGCAACAGTCCAAAGTGGCAGGGGGCCAGGGGAACCGGACGATGACGACCCAGGTAGGGACGCTACCAGGATGACAACCCAGAGGTGGCAGGAGATAGGAACGGGCAGCGTGCTACCGGAAGAAGAAATTGTCATCTCCAACAGGGTTAAGTGTGTGCGGCAGAGTCTCAGGGTTAGTACCTGTAGCCGCGATTGGAGGCCCGAGGTGGAATCCGGTAGACACTGACGTCCGGCTTCACACAGAGGACTGACTCGTACTCCGACTCGGCCGCCATCTTGGCTCAGCTCTGCGCCCCACTGGGGGCGGGGTGTAGACCGGGGGCAGTCCACGGGGGCGAGGAGTAGCGCTACAAGACAACTTCCGGTTACGCCACTTCCGCGCTAGTTTATCTTCCTCCTGAGATTAACCTCTTCGGTGCCGCTGTTGGAGAGGTCATATTGAAACCTGGAAGTGATGAGGCTGCACTCCACACCATCTTGAATAATGGCAAAGATGCCCGCTTCCTGCGTGACTCACATCTTCCTGCGTAACTCTTATCCCGAGAGGCGATGAGGGAAAACGCCATCTTGCTCCCGACAGGTGCCTGCGGTGGCCCGGGAGCCTGGGGACCGTCTTGAAACCTGGCGAGTTTTCTTCCTGCAAGAGTCACATCTTAACCGTAATTTCCTGGCAGGAAAAGAGTTATCCGCCAGTCGGTAACCCCAAACTGGATACCTATAGGAAATGTATGATCCAGATGTAGACACGGTGAATTTTAACTCCAGAGTCTAAACATTAAAAATGACCAGACTGATTCATTGCTAAATGGCATATTTTTATCGCAGATTTTCCAGAACGGTACTTGTTGAAATATTCTGCACTAGTTAGAGATCTATATATATATAGATGTTAAGGCCATAGGAGAAAATCCAAGATTTAAAGAAGAAAAAAATTGCAAAAAACACATATAGCGTATCAAATTTCTGTAAAAACACTAAAATTACGTGTGTGTGTAAATGCAAAGCATCCTGTAGTAATAGATATGCCATTAACCGTTTCCTGTTGATAGATATTCACGTTTCCATTTATTCACTATTACAAATACTGCTGTAGTAAACATTGTACATACTTTGTACTCTTAAAACAAAAACTATCTTCCAATAATAGAAATTGATTGAAGTTTATTTGAATGTATAATTTGCAAATCAGGGTAACATTTCTACTAGGGAGTGAAAAATGTTCCAAACATGAAAAAAACTTCCAAAATGCTTATACTATGTCTTACCGACATTGCCATGGAAAAGGGCAAGAACAAAACTGATAAACAATTTGTGGTCAGGAAGGATGTCATATAGCATAGTCTTGAAGAACAACTAAAATAATTACTGATTTACCCTAAAACACAGCTTTCGTCTGACCTTTGGAGTCTCTTTTTCTGGAAACTGACTGCACATAGATAATTCTTCAAAAAAGCATAAGTCTAAAGTAAAATGGTTCTCTAAACCATTGTTTGACTCAAAGGTGACTTTTAGAAACCAGTTTTCTCAAGGATCAAGATTCAAAATATTATCTCAGGGAAATGGCCTGGGTGGGCCACCCCAGCTCCACGAACCCCAGAAATCTGGATTCCAGGAGAATCAAAACTATTTCTCAGGACACTTTAAGTATTTCTCTAAAATACCTATTAGTGAAATTGTTAAATTGAAGTCTATGCACAATTAATATTTTTATTCTTCTAAATTCACTTTCAAAAATGCTTTGTAAAAATTTCAGAGTATATAAGGGTATAAAATGAAAAGTAAAAGTATACATCCCTATATAGTGAAAACTGAGAGCTGGAACTCGACGAGTCTGCCTTGTTTTTCTGGGTCTCAAAAGTTGCTACCTTTGACAGGGTGCAGTCTTACCACTTTTCTATCACTCTCTATTAGTGAAAAATATTTGAGTTTTCCCTTTCTGACTGGTTTCCACCTTACACAGGTTCCAGCTTCCGCTGCTTTTACTGTATTGTGAACAACTTTATCCCAACAAATTCAATAACTTAAATGGTCATTGATAGACACAATTTACCAAAAATAAGAAGAAATAGAATATCCGAATAGACCTATGTCTATAACAGAAATTAAATTAATAACTAAAAACCTTCCCACAAAGAAAACTCTAGGCCCACATGGAGTCAGTGTAGAATTCTACCAAACAATTAAATAATATCAATTCTATACAAATTCTCTAAAAAAATAGAAAAAGAATGCTTTTCAACTAATTTTATGAGACCAGCATTACTTTGATATAAAACCAGAAAAGAAAACTACAGACCAATATCCTTCATGAGCATAGACAAATTTTTTTAACAAAATACTAGCAAATGAAATCCAGTAATGTATAAAATGGATAATACACCATGACCCAGAATTTAAGGTTAATTTAACATTGACAAATGAATCATTGTAATACATCATATTAACAAAATTTTTTAAAAGTCTTCCAAATGGAAGCAAAAAAGGCATATGAAGAAATTCAATACTCATTCATAAATTTAAAAAAAACCTCTCAGCAAACTAGGATTAGAGGAAGAATTCCTCAATCTAATAAAGGACATCTGTGAAAAACCTACAGCTAACATCATAATTAATGAACAAAGACTGAATGCTTTTTCACTGCAATGCGATGGATTGCTTTTATATGGCCTTTCTAGCCATAGTCGTGGTAGACAGTTATCGAAAAAGAGGAAGACCATCAATGAGATGGATTGAAACAGTGGCTGCAACAATGGGCTTAAGCATAACAGCGATTGTGAGGATGGCACAGGACCAGGCAGTGTTTCGTTCTGTTGTACATAGGGTTGCTATGAGTCAAAACCAACTCGATGGCACCTGACGACAACAACAACAAGCCATGGTCTTATAACTCCCTCCAAATGACTGAGTAGACCAAAAAATAGGGGCATGTGGCCCACCAAGGGGATTGGACAGCTTGCTAACAATGCAAATAAGGTTCAGGACACCCTTGTGGGGGCAGGACCATGCAAATAAGGTGTATGGAACCCTAGCGAGGAGATTGGTCAGTTCTACCATCCACCTAGGCTTAAAATGAGCCATCCCAGAGGCAGAAAGGGACGACCTCACTAACACCAAGAAGAGCAGAAAGTGGAGCATGTCCTTTTGACCTGGGGTCTCTGCGCTGAGAACTTCCTAGACCTAGGAGACAGAGCGGTAGCAACGGAGACATTGCGAAGTGGTGAGAAGCAGTGGCAGAGAAACAGTGGCAGCAGAACCAGGAGACCAGCACAAGACGGTGCGATGGGCTTCCTGGCCCACAGAGCCAGGCGGTTACAGTAGGCTCGCCAACCCACGGAGCGAGAAGCGCCTTTGGACTAAGGCTTCCCAGCAGAATAGGGCGCCTCTGGGCACTTATTGGAGCTAAAGAGCTTTGTAACACTTGTCCAAGCAGGGCAGAGGCCAGACCGAGGGGCCCAGGGGCCAAGGGAGAGGCTTGCCTGCAGGCACAGCCCAGGAGCTGTCCTGACCGAAGAACTGTGTCGAGCTTGATCCTCAACTGTAACCTGTTACTTCCCTAATAAACCCCATAATTGTGAGGATAGTCTGTGAGTTCTGTGTGGCCATTGCAATGAATTACTGAACCCAGCAGAGAAGTAGAGAGTGCCATAGGAGAGACAGCTGGTCTCAGAATTGGTTAAAAGATTGGAGAGAGGAAGAATGTCTGATCTTTGCCTCATAGAAATCAGCCCTGGGCTGTTGATCTTGATTCTCCTTCCCCCTTGTGAAGTTAGAGGAGGTCATACACCCCTGCCATGCCATTTTTACATTCACTAAGATCAAGAACAAGAAAAACAAGCCAAGGATGTGCACTCTCGCTTCTGTTAATTGCCCTTGAGATCTTAGCCAGGCTTTTCTTCCAAGGCACCTCTGGATGGACTCAAACTCCAATCTTTTGGTGAGGAGATGAGTGTGTTAACCGAGGAGAAATCTTTAGAGATTATTTAATACAGTCTTTCTAACCCACCCCCCCTTTATTTTAATGTGATGCACTGTAAGAATACATTTTATGTCAGAACCCAGTGTACCCATACATACTTGAATATATATAATTCAAACCAAACCAAACACGTTGCCGTCAAGTTGATTCCAACTCATTGCAACCCTATAGGACAGAGTCAGAACTGCCCCATAGGGTTCCCAAGGAGCAGCTGGTGGATTTGAACTGCCAACCTTTTGGTTAGCAGCCGAGCTCTTAACCACTGCACCACCAGGGTTCCAATTAAAACAAAGGTTTTCCAAAATGGTACCCTTACTGAGTGTGATGGCACTTCTGTAGTTTTTATTCTGTTTTATTTTTTGTTGTTGGTCTCAATCCACAAAATTGATTTCAATATCTCTAATATATCCTGAAGGAGCCCTAGTGGTGCAATGGTTAAGCACTGGGCTGCTAACCAAGAGGTCGGCGGTTCAAACCCACTAGCTGCTTCATGGGAGAAAGATGTGACAGTCTGCTTCTGTAAAGATTACAGCCCTGGAAGCCCATGGGGCAGTTTTATTTTGTCTTGTAGCATCACTGTGAGTTGGAATCGACTCAACGGCAGTGAGGTTTTTTTTTTTTAATATATCCTGACTCACAATTTTTTTAAAAAAATAATACTGTCCATTATATAGGTAAGAAAACCAAGTAATGAAGAAAAGTCAAGAATATTTTTAACTACTCGAACATAACCTACTGAGATCATTATGTACACTATACACCGGTTTTGTTTTGTTTTTCAAATCATCCTATAAACTCTCCACTGATTGTACAATAAAGTATAATCTCCTTAGCTAGATGATTCTTCGTAATCTGAACCAAGCTTTTCTTTCCAGGCTTACACAGAACTCCTTCCTTCCCACCCCGTTCTTCACTCGCACTCCATGTCCTCTCTAGTTTAACTGATCTCATTGCCATTGTTTCCTGAACATACCATGTTTGCTCATGCTGAGGGTATTTACACAGACCATAATGTCCTTCCCATTCATTCCTTGGTAAATACCTCCGACCTAGCTTAAATAGCAATTCTCTAGTAAATGTCCTCAACTTCCCTAAGTAGAACTAGTAACTCCCTCCTCCACACTCCCACTACATTTTTTATACTTCAATTTTAGTTCTTTTCGCATTGCATTCTTCTGTTTGTTGGTACGTCTATTTTCCTTACTACAAAGAACTTCCAAGGGCAAGAAACATGTTTATATTTCCCGAGCATATAGAACATCTTCTAGAATATAGCAAGAATTCAGTACAATTTTTGTTAAATGAATGATCATTTCAGCCCTCCTTAACAGGGATAATTTATTCTTTACCAGTCAAGAAAATTAAA